ATATGAATTGTGTGATGTGATAAATTCATAGGTTTGATTTAAAATTTGTTTTATTTTTTAGAGCATGTAAGTAAAAACTTGTTTTTGAAAATTGTTTCTACTTTTAGTTCATTCACAATAAGAACTTTTTACTATAAAGGGTTTTAGAAATACTGCCACACAAATATTTTATACTGTAACATATTACCTACTTGTATGCCTACTTTCTAATGAATGAATCTACCTGATAAGGTCAGGTATGAATTCTTTAACTATATGAATAAATTAAATTTTGGAGCTATTGTAGAGCGAAACAAGTGTCGCGGTTTTTGTAAAATCCTTGATAGTGAAAATCATATAACAAACTGTATTAATTAGTTTTTTTATGAAATTTTGCACAAATGAACCTAACTTGGTTGGCGAATCGCGCGTCGAGAGACAGTATTTTTGTTCTAGTGTGGGAAAAGTGTTTTCTTTAAGTCGTTACATTCTGGTCGACTAGTAATAACTGAGGGAAAATTTTTACGAGGTCCAGAAAAAAACTATTGATAAAAATTAAGTGTATTATTTTATGTTTTATGTATTGTTATGTTTTATGTATTATTTTGGTTTCAAATCAAATTCTGAATCATAAAACACAAGACCAACAATTAATGTGAGAAATTACACTGACGGTCTTGAGCCAGTTTTTTATAGTTTGGTTCTCGAGTGGAACAGCAAATTCAAGTGTGTTTTCTAGGTGGTTTTCTAGGTTTAATCTCGAACAATATATGTTTTTAATAAAATTCAATTTTAAGAAAGATATTTCACATACGTATGTTGAGCCAAACATAGTAGCCAAATTTATAACTACTTTCTTGCAATTTTCATGTTTGGTCTAAAATTCTATAGTGGATACCGTTTTATATATTTGCAAAGACATATTTTTGCAAATCAATTATCTATATTTGAAGTGATGCCTTTGGCAGGCAATCTGTCCATTCTGCTCCTACATCAACTTCAGATGACGATTGTAGAAACGGAGATACCTTGCCCATCTCTGCAAAGTCTTGGAATCTTATAGCAAATTATTTTCTAAGATCGGCCAGAAATGTTACAAAGACTGCAATATCTTCTTCAGAGTTTTTTATATTAAAGAATTGTCGGAATCTAAATAAATTCTTGTCTTGCAATATCTTTCTCAAATATATCCAGCTTGCGACGAAAAGCAGACTCGTTTTTTATCATTTATTAACCATTTCCTTGTGATTCTATGTTGAGCGCATTTGAATATTTCAAAATATCTTTCAAAAAAGCCACGACCAGCATATTACGTTTGTTTGTGCCAACGAACAGTTTGTCGTGTTGCAGTTAAGTCAGAATACGCTGTCAGAAAGAAATTCCTTAAAAAGTGCCGTGACTACTAATAACATACATTTTTTCACCATCTCCGAATCTGAAAATGGTTTCAGCTGTTTATTAAGCGTGCAGCACACTCGTAGCGCTGCTTCTGTGGATTTTTCTTGCTCGCTTATGCAACGAACTAGTAATTTTGTGCTTTTTTTTGTGAGAACTGAGATTGAAGTTTTTCTTCACGAGCCTTACTTTAAATTACCACTCTTAATAATAGCGACAGTTTCATTGCATATAAAGCACACAGGAACCGCTTGAGGCCTAAAACAGGCAGCGTAAAACAATATTGTTCAAGTACATTCTGCCAGAAACCTCTTATTTTCACTGTCCACTTCACGCTTTTTAGAATCCATATTACCATAGATACGAAAATATTATGAAAACGCGAAAAAAAACAAATGAATGGTTGCTCCGCGGTTTGCGCTACGACTGACAGTCTGCTTTACAAGCCTGCAGCCCCGATTTTGATACTCGCTCGCGCTTGTTTCAACAAAACAAAATAGTGGCGAGCGCGCACAAACACACATACACACAGGGTAGATAGGAAGCTGTTAAAACCATATCAGTTGTAGGTACTTTTAAAACAGGTTGACTAGGCAACTTAGAATAAAATAAGTACATACTTAGTTGAATTCTATGTGGCCTAAAAATATTACTTCAATTAATGAAGTTATAGTATACCTTATCTGCGTATTAGTTTTTATACTTGGTATATAACACATTACAATATTTGGCGGTCCGATGTTCGACTTTTCGCGGTCCGCAAACGTACCCGCGGTCCGTCTATTGCCAACTGTTGCTCTAAAGAGTCTAAAGGAATGACTACGATGCGTCCAGCAAGCAAATACTTTCTTGGAAGTGCTTCGTGAACGAACAATTTGAGTGGGTTTCTTTTCACCTCAAAATACCCATACAGAGTATTGTTGCTCAATTTCTGTTTCATGAGGAGAAGTTTCATGGCTTTCCACTTCTTCGTAATTGAACAAAAAATTTGGAAAGAAAAAATAACAATAAAAACTCTTTATAAAGATATGTAGTGCATTCATAGAAGTTTCTTTCAGATATAACATGGAAGAAAAAACCTTTTCGAAACACCTACTTACATATGAACATTGAATAACGTGAAAATCACTTTTTCCAATTCAGTTTGTACTGCAAACATTCGTTATAGAACTGAAACAGCTATCGTTCATAGGAACATTACACAATGTGACATATGAAATAGTATTGATATAAAATATTACATATATGGAACACTATCATCCTCGATGGTGTACTTTGAAGTTTTGAGACACTTGTCAAATGCTATTATCCAAAACGGTACTGATGAGGTGATGAGACGAATCACTCATATCTTTCATACAATTACTCCTGTAATGATTTGAGAAAAGTTTTTTTTATAAGCTTGTATTTGAAAGAGAGTTTTTAATGTAGCAATTTTTTTCTTGCTTTCTTCGGAAGTTTCCACATTTTTCTTCAATGACGGAGACGTAGGAAGCCAAAAAACTTCTTCTCGAAAAACTGATCTCTCCTGAAAATAATCCCTTTTCAATTCAAATATATTTATGTTTCTTCACCTACAGCAATAATGTATACGCATTTCGCAGTTGAATTTTTTGAGCATTTTCTTACACCAATTCACATGGGTCATCGATCAAATTTCGAGGAATGCATTTGGAAATAATCTTCATCACACGTAAATATTCATGTAGAAATGAATGTATTTGCTGTCTGTCCAAGGATTGATTTTGTCTCATGTAACACGTGCCGTGTTTCTCAATCATCCTGTCTTTGGCAACGATGTTTTTTGGAATCACAACAAATTTTTGACGCCCATTACGAGATTCATCACTGACGGCCACACGATCCCGACAAAATTGTACTAACCGATTGTGAAAAGTGTGTTGTGATAGTGCTTTATTACTAAAAGTTAGAAGAAACGATTCTGTATATTTTTCTGTCAAGTTTGGCTTTTCTTGAAATAATAAAAAATCCAGTTTCAAATACTCCTGTCAGTTAACTATGCTATCAATGTGTAAGCTGGTAGGTAATAGGTTGCAGTGCATCACTGGTACTAGGTTAAATAAATTTTACGAATATTCAGGTGCTTCATTTCTGTAGCGCCTTAGAAAGTTTGACTGAAGAATATGCATCGCCGAGACTTTTTGAAAGTATTTAATTACGATTGAATGAATACCTGTTGAAAATTCAATCAGTTTCAATTGTATCAGTAGAAAAGTCTAATAGCCCTGGACTATATACATGGTGTTTCAAATTCGATCCTGACCATTGGGATCTCGGAAACTATGAGAGATATGAAGATGGTTAAATTGGGGTGAAGTTGTGCATTTACCCATCTAACAATATGCCGTTGAGAAAGTTCTGAAATTTCGAGAATATCCTTAATTTTTATTGAAAAGGACAAAATGTCTAACTTACCTCATACATACCTGACTTATCAAATTTTGATCCAATAACTTGAACATAGTTTGATGTGGTTGTCGTTTTTCGAGATACAAGTTTAAATACATGTCCTAACATGGTGAAAGCCATTTTTTGTCAAAAATTCAATGACTTGTACAATAACAAAATGCCATTGAGTGTAACAAATTGAAAGTCAAATTTAGAAACATCGAAGTAAAATCCTATTATGATAAGAATAAATTTTTTTCAATATCTCCAATTTTTCGAAAAAGAATGATAACTTATGATACATCATTGAAAAGGTAAAATTTGGTTCTATTCAAAACAGAAAGCATCCAATGTAGCGCCCATAAGAAAAAATGAAGTTAATGATGGATAGCAAATCTGAAAAAGTGGCAATGTGAAAGTGCTTTTGAATGAAGCCAGAAAAAAATAAAAACCATTTACCGAAATTTCTTTTTTTTTCGGATATCTCCGGATATACTCAGAATTTCAGAACTTTCTCAACGGCATATTGTTAGTCAGGTAAATGCGCAATTTTGCTCCAATTCAACTATCTGCGTATCTCTCATAGTTTCCGAGATTCCTATGGTGAGGATCGAATTTGAAACACCCTGTGTACCACGATAGATGATTCATTCTCTACACAATATAAACATGGAAAAATATTCCGTTAGTAGATACCTAGTAAACCTGGGCGCTGAAGTTATTCGAGTGATCATATTTACAAATTTTGAAGGAAATACTTCTGAAAGTAGAACCGACCGTCAAATCCTGACCTCAGATTCATGATTACTTTAATTAATAAAACAGGCAAGCAATGTATAATTGTCTTATACCAGTGAAACTATGATTGTTCAAACCTATTTGGTAACAATGAAAATTTGACGTGGAATTCGAGAAAACCAATTCCGGTACGACGTAAACACAATGATATAATTCTCCTTTACTATTTGATTTATATTGCACGTGTGTTAACCTGTTGACATATGCAATAAAAATGTGGACCTGTAAAATATTTTATGAATGGAACTTTCATTTATTTATGCATGCTCGGTTATTATCGTCACAGATAACACAGTTGGCACAGGAAGCAATGGATTTGTTGAAAAATTATACAACAAAAGTTGTAATGTCCCATTCGATTGCAATAATATAGAAACATACAATGAAATAATATTAAATGAAAATGTGAATGTACTCACCGAAACTCTTTAGCAATTCTTCCATGGCGGATGCTGAATCGTCCATTTCAAATTTGTACATGATAACACTCGTTTATCAACTGTCTGATGAATGTTATTGTCTTGAATTCTAAATCAATTGAATTTAATTGAAAGTAATAATTAGGTATAGACAGCCGTCGGTTTCGCACGATGTGGCGTGCTCATAGTACTTTACGTGACGCGTTTTCAGTTGCAGAACCAATAATCACGTTGTGAATGTTGTGCAGGCCAGAATACTTATACAGTATCACGGTGTAGGCTGACACCTATATTTAGCTTCGATTGAAGTGAAACAGCGGGACAAACACAATAATAAAATGAATTTGTGAAACATTTGATGAAACATGTATTTTTGTCTAGCGAATTGTTTGCGGAGACTTTTCAACGAATACCAATGATATTTACAAAACATTTTCATTAATTGTACTGTAGTAATATTTATATCAAATTATTAGACGGTTCATACAAATATATTCATGGGAACACGCCTGTGTTCTAGTGAAATACGTGTAGTTTTGTAAACTATTCAGTGAAAATCTGACCAAAAAGTGTTACTTGAATACCTCGTTTGGGCCAAGTCTGTTGATGTTCGTAATGAGAAGATTACAAACTCTGCAAAACTAGAAGACACTAATGCGTTTCTTACATATAGGTTAAATGAATATATGGAGCCTGATGGATATTTCTCTCATGTTTTTTATTCCATAAGATAATCACAACAAGAATACTCAGGTATCTCCATGAAAAGATCAACTTCCGCACCCAAATTCACCACTTGAACTTTAGATACATATGTATTTAATCCACAATATCCTATAAAACTTTATTAAATAAGAGTTCCTTCTCGTATTATTCGTATTATTCCTGTCAGTATAATATAGTTCAGAAAAGAACTGAAAAATACGTTGGTTTTCAACTTGTTTCTCTACAAAATTGATTTGATTCATGATTATTCCGTAGTGAAAAATTGATATGTTAATATTCTCCAATTCTTTTGCTTTTTTCCTAATAGGAATTAGTATAAGTAGATAATTATGGTTCAATACTATTCAAACATGGTTGAATGAAGCAGGTTTTGTTGGCCTCACAATACCAGAATCTGGATTCTGCCTTTTGAGAGGAATAATAATTAATTCTATTTCATTATTTTTTTATTATATAGGTATCTTCAATAACTTAACAATAAAATCAATTTTTATTATTATTATAACCGAANAATACCTAGTCATTTCTTCGTCTATTATTTGACGCATCTAGAACTGAGTCTAAAGCTATTATATCCCCCAATAAATGTTCAAAATGGCCGCCATTGAGTTATCATTTATTTTTATATATTCGGGATACAAACAGAAAAATCCACTACAGTATCCACACAATTGAATTATTATCAAATTGAAAGTATAACTTATAATACACATATATCAATGACCTGAACACACTCAGAATATCTGGTTCCTAAACTTTTTCTGCTGGTGACGCCAAATTGTTGTGGCTTAATGAAAACGAGAAATATTTGCATGAAAGTATCTACAAAGAAATGGATGATATAGAAAATGGTTCAATTAAAATTTTTCGTCTCTCAATATGAAGACGACAAACGATCTATCGTTTGTTTGGGAAATGAAGCAGTAAAAAACAAAATCAGTAACAAATTTTCAAGCATAAATATAGACCTCAAATTTGAGGAACATAAAGGACTGTATCACCTATAACGGAATAATTGTTCAATAATCATCCATCAGTAATAATAGAAGCCAAAATATTTTGGAAATTTATACTGTACACGAAAGAAATTTTCTGGCGAAAATTTAGGATTGTGGTATGTTACAACATAACGAAATTTTTCAATGTGAAATTCGTGATGCCTTTGATTTCACAAAATATTTTATCGGTATGACGGTAGCCTGGTGGGTTGACGTGGGTGGTCAGTTTCACTCAGTCAATCGGCCTCTGTTGCGAACCGGTGGTTTGAACCGCAAGACCGAACGACCGATTTTCACTTCCTTAACTCGCACAAGTTTCGACTTTTGAGAGTTGTCGTTCGTAGGGGGCGACATCTGATTGACGGAAAACATATTTTAACAGACACGTATGCATGTGTGCGTGTGTGTGTGTATATGTTTGTATGTGATGTGTCTGTTCATATATTTGTGCATCTATTTTTTTAAGTCTTTAACTGATAACTTTGGTTTTCGACTGGATGATGGTTCATTTTCTATTTTTTTCATTTTCATTATGTGTATTTTACATATACCTATTTCATGTGTGCATTCGTCAATGCTTAGATATATTTCTGATAGTATGTTTAGATATCATTAATAACAAAATGTTTGTCAACAAGATATTATCTAGATTCGCAATAAACATATTCCTATCTATGAAACCATAATGAATCAATGACCTCTAAGGACTCTCCCACACGGGGAGCTTCACTTCTCTCGCTCCTACAAGGAAGCGTTTATCACTCCTGCCTACCTCCCATTCACACCGGGAGCCTTTTTAGTTCCTGGCTCCTTGAGGTCAATGGTAGAATGAAACCCACACGAGCTGTACCGTCGACACAAACGTCGACGACAGAAACGTCAACGATCAAGAATGGGATGAGCACCGTGCAGATTCCCACCCAACTTTTTACGAATTCATTTCGTTTCTTATAAACACTGTATATAAATAAACAGAAGTAAATTCACTCCCGGTCGGCCTCTTTGATGTTTCGTGTCCAGATTTTATTTTTTGCTGGCATGTGGCGGGGCAAGAGGGTGTCGGCTAAGAACTGTTGTGCACCTCTGCACGAGGTTCGATCAAAAAATATGTGACCATGATCTGACTTCATCATTGCTACGAGGAGCTCCCAATAAATGTCTCATATGATTGTGAACTGTTTAGGAATTGANCGAATGGATGCCTTTTGCCATGACTATCAAGGCATATTCTGCTATAGAAGCCTCAAAACGAACTATTCTATCCTTTCCTATATTGTAGGAACTTGTGACTTGATGCTCATTTCATCGAAACAAATGTTGCAATCCTTATCTTGGTTACTGAAGTTATTGATTTTTAGTTGGATTACATCAAAAATAAATTCATTGTATGCTGCATCAATAGGCCATTTTCTGGTGATCCTCTGCAGTGTGGACCTGGAGGATGGCCTGAAATATTTGGATAGATATAAGAATGCTGCCATTGAAAATTGTTTCATACTATCTGAAAATCTGACCCCTTTAGTGTTTTTCTGCGATACCGTTAATTGAAACTCCATAAAATTTTCCTTCCTGGGCTTCCCTTTTGTTTTATTTGCTCTTGACTAATCGTTAAAGAAAGTTATCTCCGAGCTCAAGTCCCAGGAGTTATTCGTGCCAACGTTCATTCCTAAAGTCAAGAATGGCGCGTTTTACTTCGCTGGCTTTCACAATCGCACTGGCTCTATCTGTTGGAAATAGGGTCCTGTGATATCTTCTTCTGAGACGGTTTCTTTCTCTAATCAAAGTTTTGATCCGTCGAGGAAATTCGTTATAGGATTTCCTTGGTTCCACGTAAGTCGTGGTAACCGCTGCGAGTTCGTTACTTATATTTTCCTCGAACCGTGTTACCGCAGCGTTCAAGGCTTCGAGGGTTTCGGGAGGTCGTTCCATGACGGGGATTGTTTCCAAGAACGGCTTGAGAGCTTCCCAGTTGGTCCTGATTCCTTCGCTATCATTTTGTATTGGGGGGCATTCCCCTAGAATCAGTGTCACTAGGTTGTGATCTAAGTCAGGCTCAGAAGTCACGTATATATCCCAGTTGAGAGTGAAAACTGCTATGTCAAGAACATCAGGTCTGTTCGGTATTTGGTAGTATATAGGTAGGCAACGGCGGTCCCAAAACCTAATAACCGTGTTCGTCGGCGTGAGCATAAAGCGCTCGGCCATTCATATTAGTTTATTTCATCAGTTCATCAGTTGTCCAATATAATATAAATTTATTTGAAATCCCTAAAAAAAAATCAAAGAGATTAACCGAAAATAACAATTTTATTAAACAAAAAACTGAAATTACAAAGAAATTACAACCGCATAGGAGTGTAAACTCCTTTGAAGATTTACTTCGATACCTATAACGTCTAAACGATTTAGCGCATTTTCGTCTAGACCGATTTGAGCATGTCTAATTGATCTTTTCATGAGGATGACTACGCCACCTCCGCATCTACCGACTCTGTCTTTTTTATAAAAGACAAGTTCGGGAGCGCTATGGTGCTTCCTTGCAAGTGGGTTTCTTGCAGGAGCAAAATATCCACGTCGTTTTATATCAGGAACTCCTCTACATCGAGTTTTTTTCTGATTATTCCATTGGCATTCCAGGTGAGAATCTTCAAGGAATTAGGTACTATATGGCGTCTAGCCATTTAGTTTCTGGGAGTGACGGGAGTGTTTGCCGCAAACATCGTATGTAGCTCGGGAAACTGGGTAATCAGACTCTTGAGCTGGTCTAGTGCCGCGACTAGTCCTTCGACTGCATTAACATTCTGTTGTTGTCGGTTGCTTGAGCCTTGAGCCGCATTCGCGTAGGAGACGCCGCTCCTGGTCACGTTGGCCCCGATAAGCCTCTTTGGGGCGGGGATATGCTGCCTCTGGGGGCCACAGACTACCTCATGGGGGCGTACCATTACACTTGTTACATTACGCAGGTAACTGTCGGTCTCTCTTGCACTCAGACGTTCAATTACGTCTGGCGCATTTTACGCAGATATGAATTGCTTTGCAGTTCCGCTGCGTATGCCCAAGTCTTTGGCAAATGTAGCACTGGCCTACCGTTTTTCGAGGTCGCTGAGTCTCTGCACGGACTCTTATGTTCAGGTTGTCTCTTATGTCGTAGATATGACTTTGTGCTTTGGGAACCATCACAATAACCGGCGGCAACTCTTTGCTATTCGCTTTTATCATGCGGAAGATTGACAGTATGTCGAATCCTCTAGCAATGAACTCGTCTTTTATGTCCTTGATGTCCAGGAATTCTGGGACACAGCGGAAGATTACCTTGAGGAGTTTTTCATCAGCCATACTGTAAGTATGGTGAGGAATTTTCTACTTCTCTAGTAGGGCCATCATATTCCTGTTATCAGGAATGCTTGCTGGCTGTACTTTGATGCCATCAACCGTGTTGATGGCCCTTCTGAAACCAATTTTTCCTGGATAGCCTGCTCTCTGAATCGAGTCCAGCTATCCTTCTGCCTGATGGTGATAGGTGGGGGATTTGGTGTTTGT